GGCTTTCCCTTTGTTCCTTATTCTGCTCAGCATGCTGCCCGCCAGGCCCGTCCATGTCGTCACAGCAATAAGATTTCATTCTTTTTTTATGGCTAATCTTCCCCCGTATACACGCACCCCCACGTCTTCACCCCGTTGTTGTCTGTTGGCGGACACTTAGTTGCATCCGCCTTGTGAATAACGCTGCTGCAGTGAGCGAGGTGCACGCACCTTTTCGAATTCGTGATTTTCGTTTTCCTTGGATAAATACCAGAGGTGGAATTGCTGGGTCATGTGGCCGTTCTATTTTTAATTTTTTGAGGAAGCGCCTTACTGTTCTCCACAGTGGCTGCCCTGTCTGCATTTCCACCAGCAGTGCACGAGGGCTCCCTTTTCTCCCCGTCCTCGCCAGCGCTTGTCGTTTGTTGATTTATTGATGGCAGCGATTCTGACAGGTGTCAGGTGGGACCTCATTGGGGTTTGATTGTGTTTCCCTGGTGATTAGTGATGATGAGCATCTTTCCGTGTGTGGGGGCGCGGGGAGGGAGGCCGGGGGGGACCATCTGTGTGTCTTCCTTGGAGAAAGCCTATTCAAGCTCTGCCCATTTTGAGTTTGGGTTGTTTTAATTGTTTACTTTTGACATCGAGTTGTGTGACTTCCTTATGCAGTTTGGATATTAACCTCTTATTGGATGTGTCGTTGGCTAACGTCTTCCCTCATCCTGTAAGTTGTCTTTTGCTTTGGTAATGGTTTCCTTCGCTGCGCAGAGCTGTTTTGTTTGCTGCAATCCCACGTGTTTACTCTTGCTGCCTTGGCATGAGGAGAACTCTCCGGAAGCATATTGAGACCGATGTCAGAGTTTACACCTGGGTTTTCTTCTAGGAGTTTTGTGGTCCCAGGTCTTACGTTTAAGTGTTTAACCCATTTTGAGCTTATTTTTGCAGAAGGTGTAAGCAAAGAGCCTAGTGTCGTTTTTTCATGCATCTGCCCCGTTTTCCCAGCACCATTTATTAAGAGACTGTCTTGTCCTGTTGTATGTTCTTGCCTCCATTGTCAGGCTACTTGGTCACACAGGCCCGGGTTTACTGAGCTCTCTATTTTGGTGCGTTCATCTATGTGTTTACAACTATACTAGAGGCTCGGTGCACGAATTCGTGCATGGGTGGGGTCCCTCAGGCTGGCCGGCGATCTTGGCCTATTGGGGGTCTGGCCGGCAGCGAGGAGGGTCCATGGGAGGTTGGCTGGCTGGTCCTCCCATTTGGGCTAATCTGGGGGGCCAGGCAGGCCGGAGGGGTGAGGGGCTGTGGAAGGTTGGCCAGCCAGGCCCCCCATTGGGGCCGATTGAGGGGGCTGGGCAGGTGGAGGGGGGCCATGGGAGGTTGGCCAGCCAGGGGGAAGGGGCCATGAGAAGTTGGCCAGCTAGGGGGAGGGGCAGTGGGAGGTTGGCCAGCTGGGGGGGTGGGGCCACAGGAGTTGGCCGGCTGAGGGTAAGGGACATGAGAGGTGGGCTGTGGGAGGGCAACTCCTTCATTGAGCTTTTGCCCCCTGGTGGTCTGTGTGCATCATAGCAACTGGTCGACTGGTCGCTCTGGTTGTTCAGTTATAACGGTCGCTTAGGCTTTTATATATGTAGGTGTTTTTTTAAAGTCTCCCGTGATCCCACCCAGAGTTGGAGGACACCGGAGTAAATGCTTCCACTCCCACCAGCCCCTGTGCCCCGTCTTTGCTGTTGGCGTCGACAGCAGATCGACCTCTAGTGATGGTTATGACCCTATGTTGCCGTGGAGAACATTTCCCATGTGCAGCTAAGAGACACTCCAGCGACACTGGAAAGTTAACGAGGCTAATTGGGCCACTTATGGCAATCACTTCTGAGCGGGGAGAGGGGGAGGGGTGTCAGGGAGACGCCTGGGGCTTCGTGGTCTGCGCCTGACTGTGCTGCCCCGATGGGATGACCTTCAGGAGTGAGGCGTGTGCGTGAGCTCCGGGTCACTGGGCTCAGAGGGATCCTCCAAGTCCTGGGAGGAAAGCCACCAGGTTGTGATTCACAGTCTGCTCTGTGTTGGGATCCACTCCTGGGATGGAACGGGTCGCTGAGCTGCCTGGGCAGCCTCGAGCCTTTGGAGATGGGGGTACGCGGGAGCTCCTAGCACAAGTCAACAGCCACGTTGGTTATCCCCGGCTCGGGTAGACGTCTCTGTATCTTTTCAGGGTTTGATAAGATGGCGTGGATGTCAGTGAGGAAGAAGCAACGAGCAGCTCACCAAGGAATTGTCTCCCCGAATTCGCCAGATGTTCCGTCCCATGCCTCTGGCTCGCCACTGCCTACGGAGCCCGGGGTGTCGTGTGTCTGTTTTGTCTTTCACATGAATATCTTCCTGGCTGCTCCCTCACGCCCTCCCTGGCTCACGCAGCCCTCACGGCAGCCGGAAGGGCGACCCCACGGGTCGCACGGGATTCTGGGACCCTCGGGGCACCTGCTCCACCCATCCCTCACTTCCCAGTCGCCTTCCCCAGGGGAGGGTCGCTGTGGTGCGACGGAGCCTTTCTCCGGAGATGCCCCTTCCTTGCGCATCGTTGCTGCGCGGCTCATACCACAGGGCAGCGCGGGAGGAAGCAGTGCCTGTGGCATCAGGGAGGAGAGGTCATGGGGACAGTTACAGACACACTAACTCGTCGGGACTTGGGGAGGAGTGATAGTGCTGTTCCCATTCATAGGTGTTTCTTGGCTTTGTGTTTGCACTGGTGACCCGGTGCACGGATTCGTGCACGTTGAGAGGAAATTCATTAGAAGGTGGCGGGGGGTTGGGGAGCGGGACTGGGCGAGATGGGCTGGTCACGCCCTGGAGCCAACCTCCCGCGGTCTCTCCAGGGCCAGCCACACCTGAGGCGGTGCTGTGGCTGAAAGGGCGCCTGCAGAGTGAGCAGGGTCCCTCAGCCAGGTGGGGTCCCTCGGCCTGGCCTGTGGGGATTGGGCTGAAACCGGCTCTCCGACATCCCCCAAGGGACCCAGAGTGAGAGGGCACTCTGCAAAGTTGCGTTGTGGCACGCAAACGCAAGTGTGCAGTAAGCCAGATTTGGAGCCGACAGAGCCCCAGCAACAACATAACCCACGGCTGAAGGTGGAATTGTGCGGCCCTGCGAGGAATAGGGCTCCCTCTTCTCTGGTTTCAGGGTGAGTCACCTGAGAATGGCTGCTGCCAAGTCACTGCACTCTGCAGCTCCTGCGTTGAGCATCTGCCCCCTGGTGGTCAGTGTGCGTCATAGCGACCCGTTGCACGGAGGGAGGGACACTTAGCACATTAGCCTTTTATATATACAGATTTTGCACAAAGATCTGATCCTTGCCAATTTTAACTCCTTTATCGTTGGGTCCGGAAAAGGCCACGTTAAGACTGGCGGTGGCTTCTCTTTCTGTGTCTCAATGTGGATAACGACGGCTTTTCCAAACGCCTGTTTTTCCAAGGAGCTATTTAACCTCGAGGTTAAATTTTAAAAAGAACATCGAGGCCACAAACACGAACGCACAGAATTTGCTTTCGTTTTGTTATTTCGCAGTCAGGTCCAGCGTTACCTTTGCCCTGGGGCCCGTTTGGCCGCCCACCTTCCCGGCCGCTCCGCCCGAGGCGGGTGGACGTGGGTTTGGTTGTGAACAGGCAGCGAGGCAGCGGGCACGGGCTCATCTAATTCGTGACATTTACACATGATCACCCAGCGCTTCTAACGCCCCAAAACACAAGCTCACGAGACCCGGGGTTCATCTTAGGCAGGAGCTGTGGCCGGACCTCGCCAGTCTGCCTATGAGATGCCGGCCGAGGCCGTGCGAGCGGGCGGAGCTGCTGGTCGGTGTGATCTGCACTGTCCCTGCTTCTCTTCACCTTCATAAGCGCCCGAGGCAGGTCCGTGACGTCTCCACATTTCCCTGCGTTTACTGTGGCTGTTCCTGAGCGGACACGGGGGCACCTCCGTGCAGGGAGGGCAGACCCCCGGACGGGCCGCTCACAGACAGCGACGATACCTGGAATTGGGCCGTTCCGTTGGACCTGAGGTTGTCTGTGTTGACAACATGATGCAGGTTGTCCTCATGAGGCCTTGTGTCCGCATGCTTGTGCCTGGCGGGAGGAATGGCGGGGGAGAGGCTCGCTGGGGGGGAGCTGGGATGTCCCGGGAGGTGCTGAGGCCGCACACGGAGGGCAGAGGCCTGCGAACCGTGCGGGGTGCTGTGTGTGTCAGATGCTAGTCTGAGTAGTTTTGCAGGAAGGCGGGTACTGTGGTTCCCTTATTCATTTTGTAAAGATATTTTTATTGGTTTCAGAGAGGAAGGGAGAGGGAAGGAGAGAGGGAAACATCAATGATGAGAGAGAATCATGGACCGGCTGCCTCCTGCACGCCCCGCACTGGGGATCGAGCCTGCAATCCGGGCGTGTGCCCTGACGGGGAATCGAACCGTTTTGCAGGAAGGCGTGTACTGTGGTTCCCTTATTCATTTTGTAAAGATGTTTTTATTGGTTTCAGAGAGGAAGGGAGAGGGAAGGAGAGAGGGAAACATCAATGATGAGAGAGAATCATGGACCGGCTGCCTCCTGCACGCCCCGCACTGGGGATCGAGCCTGCAATCCGGGCGTGTGCCCTGACGGGGAATCGAACCCTGACCTCCTGGTTCATAGGTCGGCGCCTGACCACTGAGCCACGCCGGCCGGGCCCCTTATTTTCCACAAAGTCCTCTGTGTCCCACTCACCAGGACTCACGGCCCACAGAGACCCCGAGTGTCTGTCACTTTGCAGATTGCTGGGGGGGCGGGGCCCGGACAAACAGGAGGCTGCACTTCCTCCCGGTGTTTCCGTGAAAGGAACCCCAGCCCCTCGCACTCGGGCCCCGCGCAGTGGGGTGACACGCAGCCTGGGGCTTCGGGGAGGGGGCCCTCCTCTAACTGGGCCAGGAGCCGCATTAAACTGTGTCACACCCGCAAGCGACTGGGACCCATGAGGTGTAAGTGGGGCAGGTCACCTGGAGACAGAAACGCCCGTGAGGGTGGAGTGTGCGTGGTGGGGAGACGGGGGCGCTGGGTGGGCGTGGGAGTGTG